GTCACGAAACTCAAACGAAGCCTTTGTATATTTTAAATCACTGTATAAATGGCAGTTATTTTTTATATGTATTGCTACTCACTGCCCAAATACTAAGCTATCTCTCATAATTTTCACTGTTCTTGGTGGAAACACAGGTTTCCTTCAGGTGACCATGTACCCAGGCTTTGCCTCCCCTCAGCACAGTCACTGAGTGCCATATTTCCCTGGCTTCACTGAGTACATTCTCCCAACTCTTCCTGCTCTTTCTTCATCTGGAGAGATTTCTCCATGAATAGTTGTCTGAGTAGATTCTGTAATATTCCCTCTGGTGACCAGGCTGGAACCACAGGAATTGTTTCTTGAGCTCTATTTCCTGGGCGGGACCCTAGTTCTTATCTCTAATTCATTCATTGATTCATTCATTTGTTACAGATAAGACACAATATTTAACATTTGATGATTAAGTTCCATAGACGTATCTGGCATCAGATTAAGCATTTTGCAGGACATTGTTTTCCATTGAGTGTTTTCTTTTTATCTTAATGGCCAATTGCCATTGAGATTGATTGGACAGTGAATGATTAAAATAAGTGGGAAAATGTATAGTGTAACAGAAAGCTCCAATGGAATATAAGCTCCTAAAGAGCAGAACTAATTTTTAAATTAATAATTTCATTTTATCTTTAATTTCAACAATTGTATATTAAGTGCATATTATTCACCAAGTATCATGGTGCTAGGCATTAGGGATACAGAGACAAAATGAAACAATCCCTCTCCTCAAAAAGCTAACATTTCACTGGGGCTGGGAGGAGGAGAGCAACAGGTCAACAGACAGACAAATGTGAGTCATGTACAAAATAAATACAAAGTAATTAGGGGATAGCACTAATAAATAGGGCAGCTAGGTGGCGCAATGGATAGAGTGCCAGGCCTGGAATCTGGAATATTTATCTTCCCCAGTTCAAACGCCGCCTCAGACACTTACCAGCTGTGTAACTCTGGGCAAGTCATTTAACCCTGTTCGCCTCACTTTCCTCATCTGTAAAATGAGCTGGAGAAGGAAATAACAAATCTCTCCAGTATTCTTTGCCAAGAAAACTTCCAATCAGGTCATGAAGAGTCAGACATGACTGAAAAATGACTCAACAACTAATAAATAGAAGAATCAGGAAAGACTTCATGTAGGAGGCAACATTTAAGGTAAATGAAGATGGGGATTCCAAGAAGGAGAGTTGAGGAGGGAGTGTTTTCCAAGCATGGGGGACAGTCTATTGCAAGTGTATGGATGGAGGAAGGAGATGGAATATCGTGTATGGAGAATAGCAAATATGGCAGTTTTTTCATTTATGACTATATTCCCAATGCCTAACAGAGGGCCCTGCACATGGTAGGTACTTGATCAATACTTGTTAAATTGAAATGAGACAAAACAAAACAAAACAAAACATTAGACTAAAAATCAGAAAACCCTGGATTCTAACCCCAACTCTGTCACTTAGTGACTAGCCTCAGCTTATTTATTCCTCCTTCATGCCTTCTGGGGGCCGCTCTTTCAGGCTCTTCACCTTGACAGCTATTTCCCCATCCCACCTTTGGTTTCTGACTCCTTCCCCACCATAGCCATTCAGACTATGCCAGTCTAGCAGCTTAGCCCTTTCCCTTTAGTCCTTCCCTTGCCTTCTCTCTCCAGGTGCGGAAAATTGGAGTGTTCAGCTGTGGCCCCCCTGGCATGACCAAAAACGTGGAGAAGGCCTGTCAGCTCATCAACCAGCAGGACCAGACTCACTTCTCCCATCATTACGAGAATTTCTGAGGCCAGATAGAGAGCCTCTCGTTGCCTACCTCTGCTCAGCTGGAGCTCAAGGAACAGCTCCTGTTTAAGCCTAACTCAGCCCTCCTCTTACCTGCTGAGTATTTGGGGCTTCAGGTGATTGCAGTCACACATGAGAACCCAGGCTATGCCCCAGCCTCTTCACCTGAAACCACTACGGTTGCTGGGAGAGAAACATGAGGATCACAGGCTGTCGTGGAGGGAAACTACTTTTTTTTTTTGTGGGGGGGCTGTGGAGGAGGGGAGGAGAGAAAATAGTCCGTTTCCTTGTAGTCTGCTGTTTCAGTGCTGTTCCCTGCAGTTGGGGGTAGGAATATTCCTGGAGTACAGATGCTGGCACCTTTGAGTTCTCTCCACTCCATGTATGTGAGAAAACATATGTAAATAGCTTTGCAAACCTTAAAATGCTATCCAAATGCTAGATATTAGCCCCCTCAGATTCTGCGACTGGGTTGATGTGGCTTTGGAACAATGGATGGTTGGGGAGGAGAGGCAAGAGTGGGACCATTTTACCTTTCCTTGGACTTGAGGACTCTCCCTCCTCTCCCCACTCAGCCTTCCCTCAGGATCCTAGTCCAGTTGTACAGTCTTGTCTCATGTTTTTAAATAGCCCCAGTTTCATTCCAACACAGACCATGGCCTGGGGCTTTCTATCCCAGTCTTCCATTCATTCAGGTAACTCCCCTCCCCCATTCCAGCTGGAATATTTTCATTCCATTCATTTATTGTTCTATGCAAATAAATCATTTTTCTGCCCTTCTTTGTTCTGGAGTCTCTTAATTCTGCCCTCTTGCCAGCTAAACCTAAGAACACTGACCCAGCTGATGTTTGCATCAGGAACATCCAGGGCTGGGCAGTGCTGATGTCTTAGTTGGGCTGTGCCCAGTGATTCTGGGGACTAAGACTCATCCCAATCTGTCACATCCTTTGTGATTCCTACCTGGGAGGGAACTAAGGGAAAGAAACCTAAGATTTTCTCATAAAAGATTCCTTATCCAGTCTCCCACATTTACTAGACATGACCCCTGATACTCAAAAACTTCCCTCAGGGAAAATGAGCAAAATTATTTCAAATCTGTTGAAAGTTTAGGTCTCCTCAGGTGAAAGGAGATGCAAGTGATTTTGAGTTGAGATTGGAATCAAACTGTAGTGAAGAGTCTTTGACTTGTGAACAATGAACCCACACTGAAATCCTGATTCTGTCTCTTACTAGCTGTGTTACCCTAGGCAACCTTCAACATCTCAGCCTGTTTTTCTCACCTGTGAAATGGGAATAACACTTGCATTAAATACCACACAGGGTTATTGTGAAGAAAATGCTTCTTAAACCTTTAAATGCTATACATAAACATAGTAAGTGGAGTCGTAGGAGGAGGGAATTATCTGGCAGTGCTTGGGGGTAAAGGGTACAATACTTAGAGAATCTTTGTCATCCTGGTCCACTCCCCCTACTCTTCTTTGGGCCCTGAACTTTCTCAAGCCCCATTTGTCAGTGCTAAGTGGACTCTGCCCTCCTGAGAATGTGGAGAACATTACCTTAAGAGAACTCAGACTCCATAGATATACTCAGTTGGGTTTTCCAACAACAAAAAAAACTCACGCTTACAGGGAGCCCGGCAAATGGCTGAGAATGGGGGAGGGCATTTATTCAAGGGACACTTAGATTCTCTTGGGAGTTAGGGGAAGAGACCTACATAAGACAGAAAGGAAAAAGCTTTGGGCCCTGTCTTGAAGTACCTAACACCACACGAGGAAACCCTTAAACCATCACAAAGATTCTCTGGTTAGGAAAAACGGGCTGATCATGATGCAATAGGACTGACAGGCCAGTCCAGGATAGTCACGGAAAACTTTCCAGGGTTTTTCAGGATTGGAAGATATCTCTGATCTCCTGTAAGAACCACGTGGGAGCTTCTTTGGTTATATTGCCCCTGGCCCTTGGCGTGATCTGTACTGTCGCGGTTGTTGCGAGTAGTGCTATGATGAGGTACACCTGGTGATAAGCTTAACTCCGTGGTATAAGGGTTATTTCTCAACCAACTTTGTAGTTACTGCCCATTACCTCGCTTCCTTTTTCAGGCCAGGTTGTGGCCTCAGAGAGATCCGGTCTGACCAATAATACCCTGCTAATAACTGTTTGACACTCTGCACGTCCGTCTCTCTCTGTACCTCTCATCTCTAAAATGAAAGGATTGAACTAGATCAGAGGTCCTTTAACCTTTTTTTTTTTGTCGTGAACAGGATCCTCAGTCTAATATTTTTAAATAATTTAAAGAAAAGCTGAATTTCAGATAGCTAGTGGTTATGAAAATAAGAATGTAATTTTTCGCTAAGTTCATTGGCCCCCTGAAATCTATCCAACAACCCCCAAGAACCCCTGGACTAGATAAAATCCCTGAGGTCTTTTTCTAGCTCCAAAGCTCTGGGTCGAAGAAAAAAAAGAGGCTGAACTTGCCTCCGATCCCGGCCGGCAGTGACCAGGCCCTGGAGGTTCCCCAAACTCTCCCGCGCTCGCAGTTAGAGGCGGCCGCCAGCAGGGGGCAGAGGGCACTCACTGGAGCGTCCCCCCCTTTCTCGGGGCAGGGCTGGCAGGCGCTGCGCCCGCGGCTGTGGCCATTGGCAAGGCTGAGAGCTGCGTCCCAGGCTCTGCCCGATGAGTTGGGCGCTGGCTTCTGCCCTCAACCCCGTTTTCCTTGCGACCGCAGCGCTACGGCTGGTCTCCTCGGAGTGGCCGGGGCAGAAATGCGAAAGGAAAGCAAACCCGCCCAACCTCTCCGTCCTGTCCTAGCAGTCCCCACCCCCAACCCCCCGCCCCGGGACCGGATTTCCCCCCTCCCCCGATGCACGGCTTTTCGTGTGTCAAGGTCTCCTTCCTTTCCCCTCCTGCCTACCCACCCTCCCTCCCTCTCCCTGCGTGTCTGTCTCCGGCTCTTTGTCTCTCTCTCCAGCTCCCCCTCCTCCCTAACAAATGATTCTTGGCAGGAAATTGAACGCGCTCCTCGGGGAGTCTTGCTCTTACGCGCAGTATTGGAGGCGCGGGCAGCGGGGAGGAAGGGGGAGGGGGAAGCCCCGACACGCCGCCGCCAGACGCCTCCCCGACCCCAGCGCAATCCGGGGTGGGGGCGGCGAGAGGGTAATGTTTTGACATCTAGTCAAAAAAATAGAACTTGATGCTTCGGCAAAGTGCTTTTCACAGCCGTTCAGTGTCGGCTCCGATACTGATTTATCAACAGAATCTGTTTGCGCTTCGCTGCTTGCGGATCCCCTCCCACCCCCAGCGCCGTAGCATTTCTTCTCCCCCAAAGTCCTCATCCTGGGGGGGTGGTGCGGACAGGCGCGATGCCGGGGTGGGGTGGGGGGTTAATAATGCTGGCGCTGAGCCAGGGAGGACAACCCGCAGAACTGGCTCCCTCAGTCCCCCCTCAAATCCTCCCCATTTCCCCGGTCCCCAAGGCCAGGCATCACCAAATACCATCTTCTTAATTTCTGCCTCTTTTTTTCTCCCCTTCACCTCAGAGACTTGGCAAGGGACCTCTTTAGTTTGAGGATGGAGATGAGTGTTGTGGGAGGTTGAGTTAAGACAGAATGCGATGGCCACTTAATAGTCAGAAAGCCTGCTCCATGCCCATCCCCCAACAGACCCCCAAGCGCCTGGGAGCTTCTGCAGGCGCCAGGGCTGAGGTCTGAGGCCCTCTTCGCCATTCAGGTTCCAGTCTTAGAGAAGGTCGTGTAGTCGTGCATCCTGGACCTCCTGAAACCTTATGAGGGTGCCACGGAGGCCCAGTGACCCCTGATTGCCTGTGAGGCCAAAACTATCCTAGCAGCAGGAGGTGGAAGCGCTTCCAGCTCCAGAGGACCTTAGAAAGGGAAGGATTCCCTACCCCCAACTACTCATTGCCCCAAGGCATTTTCTCTTCTCTCGGGGCATCACCCCTACCCGCAAAACCCGATTGACTTTCCCTTTTAGAATAAATTAAAGAAGCTTTCGTCTCAGCCTCTGGGGGAAAATGGAATGGGAGGGGGACAAGGGGAAGAGAGAGGGGTCCCTAGGGGCAGCCTAGGTTCTGGCTAGGTTCTCTCCCAAGAAGAAGCTATAGTTCAACAGCTGGTTGGAGGAGGGCCAGAGGGACTGAAAGAGAATCCTAGGTGGGGGCTACTTTTCAGCCCTGGGTCTGTGATGGCTGCTGATCCTCTGGCCCTACAGAGTTCGAATGGCTACAGGGTAGAGCAGAGACATGTGCTCGGCCCCCTTGATGGGCAGCTTCCGGCTGGCGTAGTGGTGTACGATCTCTGGGACGCTGCTGAAGGGCGGGCTGTTCTGGCCCAGTACGTACTTGTGCTCCTTGGTCCGAGACAGTTTCATGTGCATGAAGCCCTGGCTGCTCCTGGAAAGAGGGGAGGAGAGCTTGGTAAACTCCAGTGTAGCTGGTGCAATCTTCCTCCTGCCCCATGGCTAACAAGAGTAGATTGCTACTCTGGGGGAATCTCCTGATTTTCCCAGTCCCAGGGGACTGTGAAGAAGGGGGAAAAGCTGAAAAGGAAAAGAGGTTGGAGAGAGACCTTTGGTCATGGGGAGAGCTGCTGTGTACACAGGTGGTGGAGAAAGATGGGGAAAAGGTGTGAGCAGAGTAGGAGTAGGTAGAAAGAAGTCCCAGCTATAAGCACTACCTGAAAGTGTTGGGTGGGACAGGAATGTGTGAGTATGCAGGATGCGTGCAGACATTAGAGGGTGTGACTGAATGCAGGAAAGACCCAGCTTCCCCCAGCATGGCCACCAGAGAACCAGAACCTCCTCAGACCTGACCTATGCTTACAATACCTCTTTGAGGAGAAAAGGTGAAATAAAAGCTAGGGGTGGTGGCTAGCCAGGAGAATGCTTTGATGAGTCAAATCAAAATGGGATTTCTAAAGCTGTTCATTTGTTTCTCCTAGGAGCTGGCACACTCCTTGGGGCTGCAATCAGATGAGACAACTAAACCCTAATATGTAGGAATAAGTCAGAAATAGCTAGCTCTCACTGAAAGATTGGAGCTATGGGGGAGCTGCTGCATTGCACCCTCCCCCTCCTTCCCCTAGCTTCATAGTACTGCTATTCCTCTCCCCACCACCTCTGGAGCATACTAACCCTCCCTCCTCCACAGCTGCTCAGGCCTGTCTTCGGCCTCAGATAGCTCCTCCCCACACCCTCCCACTATCTGGCCAGACCAGGCAGAGAACCTCCCCTGGGCCTCTGTCTGCCCCCCCTCCACCCCCATCAGTCTGGGATGATGTCATCTCTACTCAAGGCTGCAGCTCTTCTCCCTCGATAGAAGACATACTCCATTGCCTTCCCTGAATCCTGGTCGAGGAAACAAGCAAAGGGAATGATTGGGGCCTGGTCTACCTACAGAGCTCTTGTAGGAATGGAATGCCCTAAATGCCCAAAAAGAGTAAGAGAGGAGTCCAGGTCTGGACAAGCAACTGAGTCACCAGGAAAAGCAAGGATGAAAAAGTCCAAGACACCATCTTGGAGTTTGTTTTCAACTCCCAGTTGAACTTGGCCTGAACTTTAGGCACCATGCCTAAAACCCAATGGTAGGGACCCATAACAGCCTTATTCAGGCGTTGCATGATGTTTTGGGGATGTTAGCATGATGGGGAGGGAAGAAAATATAATGTACTCTACCCACCACCATGCGTATGCACACCAGATTACCCTGGATAGGATTCTATGGATTTAGGGATTGGAAGAGAGACAGTTTAACTTCATCAATCCTCACCTACCCCATAGCAGTTCTGCCCCCTTGAATCTCGGCTTTACTACTCCTTTAAGATCCTCCCCCAGAAGGCTCTATGGGACCAAGGGCCTTTTAGTCCCTGGATCCTAATCACCCCTCCTTGGTGAGGTCCAGGGCCCAAAGAATGCCACCTTCTTCCCTCTTCTCTATATTCCCTCCTCTGTATGTGGAGGTCAGAGTGTGAAGTGGCTTCTCTTTAGGCCCCTAACTAAGAAGGACTTCTGAGGGGAGAAAGGAAAGAGAGAGAGAAGCTAGGAAGAAGGGACAAAGAGTAAAATGGAGGAAGAAAAAAAATAATTCCCTGCAAGCCTTAGTGACAGTTTACCCCTCTCCCCAATCCCACTTCTTCTACTGTGCCTGGAGGCTTTTGCCAGCAGCAAGACAAGTACTCCTATCTGCCCCAGCTGCCTGTGAGCCTTCTGGGCCAGGTGGAGGTGGGTCATCCATCTATCTGCTAGTTTGAGGAAGACAATGACTGGACCCAGGTTCCAAAGGGGAGAGGCCCAGAAGAAAATAAGGAACTAGGAAAGAGGCTGGTGGGCGGCAGAAGGATAAGGTGTATGAAAGGGCAGGAAAGAAATAGAAATAACTATAAGCACTCTACTCTGTCCCTAGGACCAAAACACCCTGTTGATGTTCAGGTGTGTGCTATTCTCTGTGATCTTGTTTGGGGTTTACTTGGCAAAGATACTGGAGTGGTTTGCCATTTCCTTCTCTAGCTCATTTTACAGATGAGGACACTGAGGCAAACAGGGTGAAGTGACTTGCCCATAGCTAGTAAGTGTCTGAGGCCCAATTTGAACTCAAGAGGAATCTTCTTGATTCCAAGCCCAGTGCTCTATCTGCTGCCCCACCTAGCTGCCTGACCAAACACCCTGACCAGTGGTCAATGACCTCATGAGATAGAATCATTCCTATCCCGGGGACAAAGTTAATTCTACTGAGGTGCCCCTGATCTGAGCATCCTTCAAAGTCTGGTCTGACCAGAGTGAGCTGTCTGGTGGCTGGTGCTACTGGTGCAGTGATGACCCAGGACCTCTCTTGGGTCTCAGTTTCTCCTCTCTGTACAGCATGATTCCCTCTCAGAGACTAAAAGCAAATAAAAGGGAGAGTAGAAGGAGCCCCAGGAAGAAAACCTCAAGGAACTATTACCATATAAATGACCTAGCCCTACCCAGTCCACCTTCTCCTCAGGGAACCAGACCCAGGGAACCTCTGCAACCCCTAGCCAGAGGCTGAGGATGGCTTTGGGAGGAAGCTGTTTTAATTACCAGAGAAGGCCCTTCCATTACAGAGAGATGGGAAACCATAATTATATTTCAAAGAAGTCCATTTATATGCAAATGAGGCTCTGTTGGACAGATGCTATAAGGGTCAGATTGGCAACCCCACCATTACCAACATCAGGTAGCCCCCAGCCAGCCCACTCCTACCCTGGGAGATTGACTCCCAGAAACACCCCTCCCCCCTAACTGCATCTCCCCCTCCTCCCCCAATCAATAGAGTAGCATTGTCAAAGGGTCAAAATGTTTCCCTCTCCCCTCCCCCACATCTCCCGAGTTCAGTTTTTCACTTTATGGAATATGGTCTACAAGTCATAATTTTGTTAAGTGCACTCCTAGCCATTGAAATGGCACTGGAGATTGGGAGTCTAGGCTCCAATCTGCCAGAGCCTTGCTGATTAAGTGGCAGTGTTCAGACTAGAGCCCACATCTCTCTGGGTCAGTTTCCTCATCTATATAATGAAGGGGTTAGACTGAAAGACCTTCGCTTCCAGTGCTAAACCTGTGACCCAATGATGATTCTACCTATATGATCTTAGGTGAATGCTTTTGTAAAGCAAACATTTATGTATTTGGTAGATAGGAGTTTTCATATCTTATATTTACTTACAGCAGGGGGAATATGTCTGGACTATTACTGGGAGTAGTAGTCTTGAGGAGGGGGTGAGGGAAGACAATGGATGGTGCTGATTAAGTGATCCATCCTGGGCAACTTTTCCTAGATATGATGTTCTTATAATGGTGATATGGGGGTGGGCAGCACCATCTTCTTTTCTAGCACAGTTTGGCAACCTCTCCTGGTGTATGGGCTCTGCCAGGCTTTTGGAGGCCTGGGGCCCAGGTTCAGTGGTTAAAGCCCTGCTTTGACCCTAGTGGTTATGGTCTGCCTTCATGATGACAGGGGAACCAGAGAGAGAAAGAGGGCCAGGTGTTGTCTGCTGCTCACCTAGTACCTCTTCTAGGCCTTATCTTCTAGCGACTCAATGCAAGCTTTTATGGCATCCAGCCATACCCCCTTTTTCTGAGTGAATGAGGGCCCTTTCTTTAGCCCCATGGACTGCCTTGTGCTTTATCTTCTGGATAAAGGGCCCCCAATTACAATGTTAGGTAGAGGAAGGAAGTGGGGGGAAGAAGGGGGAAAGGTACACCCAAAACTTGACCTGGTACAGAGGTAGAAAATTTAGAGACCTTTCCTGCCCCCAATTTGAATAAATGTCAAAGCTGCTCTTTCCTTGAACCCTCCAGGCCCCCCTCCCCTTCCATCACCCTATTATTCACTCAGTCAGTCCACCCACCCACCTACACTCACTTGAGGGACAGGGAGAAGTCATTCTTGCTGGTCTCACTGTTTCGAACCAAATAGCTGGCTTCCTTGCATAGCCTCAGCAGGTTCTCGGCATCCGTTCGACTGATGGCCCCATGGTACCAACTGAGGGGGAGAAGGAGGGAGGGCGTCTCTGCTTGTCTCCCTCTGGCTGCAGCCATCTAGGGAGTACCCACTCAGGATGCCCCGTCCCAAGCCACGCCGCAGGCTTAGGCCTGTTCTCAGGGACCCTGGGGAGGCCTCCCATTGCAGGGTTGGGTTTGGGGGGGGCAAGTACCCAAGTCCAAGAGTCTCGGCAAGAGATGAGGGTGATGGTGGGAGGGAGCCCCAATGGGACACAGACACTCACACCTGGTTTTCCAGAGGTAGGGCTGGGTCTGTCCACTCCCCCAGGGGGCTGCTGGGCTCAATGCTCAGGGGCTTCAATGCCTTAGCGTTTCCTCCAGGAAGACGAGGAAGAGGCCGACCCTTCTCTTCCCTGCTAGGTGACAAGCAGTTCTCGGACCCTTCAAACTGGGCTGTGGAGAAGAAACACCACCTATTACAAAAATTGGCTTTATCCAGGTTTGGATGGATGTGAGCAGTATCTCCTATCCCTTAGACTTCCCACGGGCAATATAGGGACACCAAAGAACATGCAAGGAACCTCATGCAGGTCAAGGGCCCCATGGTCTCTCCTAGCTGCATCACCAGCTGAAAGACCTTGAGAAAACTGCTCCTTGCCTCAGTTTCTATATATGTGACACAGAAAAAGTAAGCCTACCCGCCCTCCAGAATTTGATGGTATTTGATATTATTCCATGCAGGGCCCCCAATTACAATGTTAGGTGGAGGAAGGAAGTGGGGGGAAGAAGGGAAAGGGAAGGCTGGAAAGAAGAGAAAAGGAACATAAGAAACCACTTAAGCTTTTCCCTCTAGGGTGTCCAGGCAGCCTTCTCTGTTCTATCCCCCTAAGGGTGGCTTCAATGCTGATAATATTGTTTCTCTCCCCTTCTCAGAGTTCATTACCGTTCCCCACATCACCCTGCCAAGCCACTCTCCAGAAATGACTTATCGATCTTAGAACAATTACTAGATTCCTTTCAGTGCCATCCTGACAGGCTAATCCTGCCCAGAGCCTCTGTTTGCCTGCCTGCCCTCCCTCCTTTCCCCTGAAGGACTGAAATCACTTTCTTTAGTCTCTTCAGCTCCTCCCCCATATGCACATACAGCTGCCTGGGCTGTCTTGTCTGTTCTCTTTTGTCCCAGATCAAGGCAAGCCTGCTGGCTGAGGTTAGCCAGTGTAGATGCTGGTTACACACACACATATGTATGTTGCATAGCCTGAGTCCCACTGGCTCACTCAGAAGTACACCTATCTCTCATGAGATGTGGTTCTATTCAAGCAGTGAGTATGCAAATGTGTGCATAGGGCAATACTGTGAAGGAGGTCACCTCAAGCCTTGGGTGTTCCCCACCTCCCCCTTCTGTCTTCTTTAGCCTCCTCTCAGCAAATACCACCACTTGTCTTCTCTCCTCAGTCTAGAGGAAGGGTCCAGAACCTTTTCTGTGTCAGGGACCCCCTTTGGCAGGAAGGTGAAACAGACCCCTTCACAGAATAATTATTTTAAATGTATAAAAGAAAATACATAGGATTACTAAGGAGTAATTATATTATAATGTAATATAATCATAATAATTATAATATAGTTATCAAAATATTTAAAAAGCAAGTTCATAGGGCCCAGGCTGAGAACTTCTACAATGTGTCCCTCATTCACGATAATTTAACTGGATAAATTCATTCACACATTAAGTTAGGGTCTCAATGTATTAGCCCTTCCTGTTCCTCAGAAACATATAGATTTTAAAGGAAGATTTATAATGTGTAACCCAAACAAATGAGTTGGGAAAGAAGTTGGATACATTTTGTAGTAAGGGTAAGGGTATGTGCCTTGGGCCCCCTCAAAGCACTACAAGGCCTTAATGGCTGGCCCTGGGCCATAACAGAGACCTGCCCCTCCACCCAGGAGGGAAGAATTTTGGATCCCTCCTTTCAACCCATAAATTTCTAGCTGCATGGAAGAAGGGGGAATTCCCTATTCACCCTCTATACCCCTTTTCAATACATAGTTCCCTTCTGTTCTATTCTTCCCTCCTCCCCTCCCCCATTCCATATGCTCTCCTGAAGGAAGGAGCCTCAGAACCCTGAGACAGAGCCTACAGTAGGACCCACCCTTCCCAACATTCCCCCAGTCTCACAACCCACCACTGCTGTCTTCCAGGCTGGGCTCAGGGAGGAGGGGTGAGACCGGAGCAGAGATGTCCCCATCCCCATCAGGGAGGGAAGGGCTGCTGTCCAGTTGTCCCACAGGTGGTGGCCAAGGTAGGTCTTTGATGACCTTAATGTCAACTGGAGCCAGAAGCAGAGGTAGGGAGACAGAAGCAGATAGAGACAGAGAGAAATAGAGGTTGAGACACAGAAACCCAGAGTACAGGAGAGCCTGAAGGAAGAATGTGCAGAGGACTGAGTGGGAGAGAGCCAGAGCATGTGACATGGCACAGAGACAAGGGGATTCTCAGAACGGCCTCATTGACAGAATGGGAGGCTGACTGACTGGGGAGCAGCATTAGTACAAGCCCCTTGGAAGTCACTGGCAAGTACTTCAAGGACTGGTCTGGCCTGTTAGGCTGGAGCTTCAGGGAAGAGAAGAGGCAAGACATGGGGGCTTTTTGCTAGCCTAGGTTTTCCTCTCTCTTCCCTATCCTACTGTTTGCAAGCCTTTGAGGCTCTGAAGGGCCCACCAGCAGGAGAGGGTAGAAGTATTCAGGCTCGGGGAAAGAGCCATCTAATCTAGGCACTGATTAATGACTAGGAAAAAAATGATACAAGGACAAGAGAATGAGAGGAGTCCTTCAAAAGAGGCTTTTGTAACCCTCTCTTTATAACCCCTGCTTTCTGTCTCCCCATACTTAGTTCCAAAGAGTGGGGTCAGGTATCCCAGCCTGTCAATAATACGACTTGGGGAGAAACACATTATTAAAATTTAACTTTCCCCTAGATCCAGAGCATTGCCAATTAGAGGAGTGATGCCACTGGCGGCCACGGGGTTGCTAACGAGGTTTCCTAATGACGAGCATAGATTTTCCCATTAAGCAATACAAACAGTATTGATTCTCCAAGGAGACTTCAGGAGATAAACTGGCCCATCCTCAGCTGCACACACACTTGGGCTCCTAGGAAGCAAATTAGAAACCTGTGGTTTCCCAGTCTAGCTAAGGGCTCAACCCTGGGAGGGTAGAGGGGAAAGAAGGGGGCTGGGCCCATTCCCTTTGGGCCTGGGGAGGGGCTGAGAGGAAGAAGGCAGGGTGAGTGGCAGATGGCTAACAGAATTTAAAGGGCTTGTGTTTTCTTCCTAACTTTAGGAATTAGAGTATACCCCCTTACTCTTTTTCCTTCTCAGGACCTCTTCCCTCCCCTATTGCCCCACTATTTTTTCTCCCTAAGACAGATTCCAGGGTCACTCAGAAGCTGGAGTACATCTGGGATCCAGGAGTCTTCAGCCTCCATACTCTGCTTCTTCTTAACTACCATCTTTCCCTTCAATAATCTTCCTCACACCAGACGAGCAAGCTTGGGGTTCTACAGAAAAACTTTGGAATAAATAATTCTAACCTGCCTCGAACACCCACTTATCCTTCCTGCCCCCTCCACTCACACATACCTTTCCACCCCACTATGACACACAATCTGTATTTAGTAAACATTTCTGCTGATCACCTTCTCTTTCATTCATTCCAGAACCCAGCCCCTTTGGCCTCCTGAATCCCTCCATTCCCAGACTACTCAATCTACCTGACCCTGGCTCAAGGCCTCAGAGTGGTACACCTGAGGTGCAGGAGAGTAAGGGGTGCTTTTGACATAACAGTTTAAGAGTACAGAGGCTGGAAGAAAGTGCTAAGAAAGCAACCCCTAACGCCCAGAGCTGCCCAACAGCCAGTCTCTGGAACATGGGTCCTGGGGTGCAGGAAGATGTCTCTGCCTCCCTAAGCATCTCATCTCCCCACCTCTCCAATTAAACAGGTGCCCTGTATTGTGCTGTCCTGCTCTGTGCGTCTCCATGCTTTGGGGTCAGGTAGTAGTTGAGGTTCCAGAGGTTAGCCTTCTAGGATGGTGCCCACAAGACACCTGAGACAATACTGAGTCCTCCCTCTCAAGCCTGCCCTTTCCTTGTCCCAAGACTTACCGGCGAAGGCCTTGGAGATTCTCTCCTTTTTCCACTCCCAGGGCTGGTCATACTCCTCAGGGGGTCTCTCATCATCCTCAGGTAGACGGGACTCCCGGGGCCGACCAGTCCCCTCACCTTCGGGGGTGAGCCCTTCCTCTGCTGGTTCATAGGGTGTGTCATAAAGGGGTAGGGGCTTGGCAGTTGCTTCCTTGGAGCCTCGTATCTCTGCCACGGTGAGGCAGTGAGAGGAAAGGAAAGGAATGTCAAGCCCTAGCTAGCTTAGAGTCTCACCTCTGGCAGCTAGCCTAAATAATAATAATAATAATAATAATAATAATAATAACAACAACATTTATGCAGCACGTACTATGGCCAGGCACTATGCAATTCTTATCTGATTTGAGCCTTACAACCTTGGAAGTTAGGGTGCTCTATTATCCCCATTTTACAGATGAGGAAACAGAGGCAGATGTTAAGTTACTTGCCCAGGGTCACATTGCTAATAAGTGTCTGAGCCTGGATTTGAACTCATGTCTATCCTAACTCCAGGTCTAATGCTGCCATTCTAAGGAAGCAATCAAAGCCTCCCACAGAGAAGAAATGGAGTTGGCTCTAGGGCTGAACACCAGAACTACATAATTTTCACACGTGGGCTCTGGGAGAGTCGAAGAAGGAAAGCCTAGAGAAAAAAGGGCTGGCTAATGGAGTGAGGTGGTCACAGGACCCAAGATTGTCCAGCATGAGGACATGAAGCGAAAGCTCCGTTTCCGTCCCCATTTTCCTGAGGTACAAGATAGAACCACTGTCACTCACAACCAAAGAATTCCTTGTTGACGGCAATTGCTACTGCTGATCACCCCCTTTCCATGAAGTTTTGTCCTTATGATGGGAGACAAGAAACTAGACCTGTGATTTCACTGGCAAAGAGAATTCCCAGGTGAGGAAAAGCCCTCTCCTAGTCCAGATTGGCACCTTCTAGTCTTAGAGAGTCACCCAGAGCACTGAGAAATTAAGTGGCTTAGACCAGTGCCATATAGCCAGTCTGTGTCATAGGCAGGGTGTGAATCTAGGTCTTCCTGGCTTCGAGGTCAGCTCCCTCTATACATTATGCCACACTGGCTTTTCCCCCTATTGACTAGACTTATATTGATTCTCCTAACTCTCTAATGGCCTCTTCCACGTCTCTTTCATGGTCTTGTCTATTTCCTTCTGCACTCCCAGCAACTATGAATATCCCCAAAGGCCAGACCAATGCTTCTTATCAGTACTACAGTAGCAATTGATTATATCCTATCTTGCATTATCTCTGATGGTATAAATCCCATTTCCCTTTCAAAGGTTAGTGCCAAGGGTCATGTCCTACATTTCTTTTGCTTCCTTAAATTATCATAGTACCTGGGTTCAAAATTGGGCACTGCCACTAACTACCTGTGCAACTGGGCAAATCAATCAATAGACATTTATTAGCCACCTACCATATACTAAATATACTATATTAGCACTGTGCTAAGCACTGTGCAGATCACTTAGCATTTTCTCATCTGTAAAGTGAGGGGATGAGGCAATGTAAACTTTACAGCCCCTTCTAGCTCTGGACGCTATGACTCTGTTATGGTACAAGGCTGGGATAAAGGAGACATAAGGTGCTAAGAACTAGGAAAACCTCGTCTCCCTCAAATCTGTTGCCTAACTTGTACTACATCTCTACCGTCTGCTGCCCTGCCTTCCCTGATGCTCACCAGCCATCATCTTCTGAGCTTCATAGGGCTCCATGTAGCCATCATTCTCTGGTATCTTCTCTGGTGGTCCTGCTGGCACCACTGTGCCTTCACCTGTTTCTTGAGCATCGAAAGGGTCAGCATAATCCTCTAGGATTGCCAGCTGCAGGGAGAAGGGGGAGAGGAGAAGTAGGACAAACGGATTAATAAAAGTAGCCTAGAGAGGGCAACATGCAGACTTGTACCATTGGTTTCTTATGTGATCCTATATATTTTATGTATTATAAAACATAATTCTGAAAAGGGGTCCATAGGCTCCACCAGATTGCCAAAAGGGGTCTGTGACACCAAAAAGATTAAGAACCGCCTGCTTTAGACAACCACCTAAGCATCTAAAAGGCATTGTGGTACAGTGGAAAGAGCCCTGGGGCATTGCGTCAAGAGAATCTGAATTTGAATCCTGACCGACCTTGGGCAGATCACTACGATTTTCTGGGCTTCAGTTTCTTTCATCTGTAAAATGAGAAGGAGGACTTAAGGACTTCTGTGGGACCTTCCAGTTCTAATCTATGATCCTGACTTCCTTTTTCCTTCCTCCTCCCCATAAAGTTCCAGACTCCCAGGACCCTGGTCCCTTCAGTCCCAGAATCTGCTCCAGCTCCTACCCTAAGCTCAGAAGTACAAGTGCCATTAAGCTCCCACTCCTCCTCAGACCCCTTTCCCAAATAGTGCTGGGCCATTCCAATGGGGCTGGCAACCTCAGTGCATCCTAAGACTCTGGGCCTTGCCATCTGCTTTGTAGCTGAACCCTTGGGACTTCCTCAGCCTTCCTGGCTGCCCTGAAGCTTCTACACACCTTGTCTTTGCCAATTAAGAGCATGAGCTCCTTGAGAACAGGGGCTGCATTCTTTTTCTGTTTATGTCCCCAGTGCTTAGCACAGCAACTGACATTTATCAAATAAGCACTTAATAAATGCTTTTCATTCATTCATTAAGCCCTTGGACTATGGGCAGTGGATGAATAATAAATACCAGGTTGTAGACTAAGTCATGTGTCTTTCCTGTCATTGTTCCTGTCTATGGTTCCCTGACTCCATCAAGGCCAAGAGCTAGGGTATAACTAACCAGCCAGGAAATGGCTATCGGTCTCCATGGAGGGGTAGACAAAGACAGGACTGCTAGGAGCCACTTGTTCAAAGGGCCCATTGTCCCAAGGTTCACTGCTGCCAGGGCCCAACACAAACCATAGGTAGATTCCTTGCCCTTGCTTCCATTCCTGTTCCCAGAGGCAAAGCTCTACCTGCCCTCTGCTGCTTTAACAAGGGAATAGATAACCTAGAAACTGACTCCCAAGAACTGCCCATGAATTTGCTGCTTGGCCTTGAGGCCACCAGCATCTTAGACTTTTAGGAAGAAACGGCTTTTCTTTGTCTCAGTACTTCTAATGCACCTGGGTTTCTGAGGTACACAGATTGTAAACCAGGAAAGCCTCCACACACCCCTCCCCACCATGCCTTACTTAGCAAAGAGTTGGTACAGCCAAATAAATTCACCACTCGGTCTCCAGCCTTCTGCTGAGGAGCCTCCCTGAGCTGTATCATTGGATGACAGTTTGTCACTGCCCTGTATTTAAAACCTTTCTACCTTGGTAGGGGCTTGTGTTTTGCTGGCAGGCTTTAGAGGGTCCAAGGTCACCCTCACGACATGATATGGCACTGGAACAAAACTATGAGGGAGGAAAATTAATCATCATCATCTTCTCTCACATTCACATAGTGCCTGATGATTTGCTTTCCTCATGAAACCCTGTAGATGGGTGGGTGGGGTAAATACTATTATCCCCATTTTATAGATGAGAAAATTGAGGTTCAGAGAAATTCAGTTCTTTTCTTCCTAAAGCAAGAAATTTAATAACTTAAAACTGCACTAAGACTTTTGGGATACCCTATCTTACATTGATATTATGTTAAAAATGTAATATAATATAAAATGTAAAAAATAAGCAATTTTGAAAGATTTAAGAACTCTGATCAATACAATTATCAACCACAAAAGCAATGGTGAATAATACTACCCATCCCCTGACAGAGAGGTGATTGACTAATATGCAAAATGAGATATACATTTCAGGACATGGCCAATATGAGAATTTGTTTTGCTTGATTATACATATTTGGGGTTTTTTAAATAATATTTTTTCCCAATTACATGTAAAGACAACTTTTAACATTCATTTTTTAAAAAATCTGAGTTCCAAATTTCCTCCCTCTCTCTTTCACTTCCCCCCTCCCTAAGATGATAAGCAATTTAATATAGATTATATATGTGCAATCATGTAAAATGTATCTCCATATTAATCACGTTGTGAAAGATGCAACGGATCAAAAGAAAAAAATAAAAACATAAGGAAAATGAAAAACAGTATATATGTATTTGTGTTACAAGGGTTGTGTTTTTCCTTTTCTTTTTCAGAGGTGAGATAAAAAGGAAGAATAAATCCTTGATAATTTAAACAAATTTTAATAAATAAAAGAGAAAAAAATAAAGCAGAGGTTCTTAACCTAGGACCCATGGATTTATTTTTAAAATATTTTGATAGCTGTTTTTCAATATAATTGTTTTCCTTTGAAATTCCAAGTATTTTATTTTATGCATTTAAAAACATTATTCTGAGACAGGATTCACAGGATCCACAGACTTCACCAGACTACCAGGGGGTCCATGACACAAAGCAGATTAACAAAATCTGGTAATCTGCTGGAATGAAGTTAGTAAATGTAACCTGATATAAGTGTAGGAATATAAGCAGACTGTAACCTTGCTGATGGCAGAGACTATTTTCCATTTTGCCTTTGTATCCCCATTGCCTAACACAGTACCTTGTATAGAATAAGTGTTCAATAAATGCTTTTTAAAAAAAAGTTTAAAGTATAACAATTTTTTTCACTTTATGAGAGCTCCAGAGTGTGCTAATAAATGTTTAACAATAGGCTCACTGAAGAAAAAAGAAATGTATGTAAGATATATTTTTAAGTTTAATCTGTGTTATTAACATTTTTTCCATGACTTTGTTAAGTCCAGATAATCAACAAATCAATAAAGACCTGATTTTAGCATTTGCCAATTCCCAAAACATAAATGCTTACAACAAAAATTTAACAATCAGTTCAGAAATAGCGCAAGCTGGCTCCTGCATACCCTGGCATCCACTGATCATTCTAACAAATGAGGTGGGTGTCATCGGCTCTAGCATCTCTTCAATGACCAAGTTAGGAGGAATTGGGAAAGACAGAAGAAAAGATAAAGTGGGAGTTTGGTTGAAGAACTTGGATAGAAGCTCACAGTATTAATTAGAAGTAACATATCTACTTTTACATTAACTTTACCAACTTAAGCTCTAAACCTTCTCTTGTTGTAGGTGACTGGTCCTTTAATTCCATAATAAAATGTTTCAACCCTGACCTTGCTGTGGTTGAATGAAAAAAATTAAAATTAACTGAGTAACCAAGGAAAAGGAGGCACTGGCTAGTGTTTCTCAGCATCTGGAATAGAGGAGAAGGAAGATGAGATCTAGTCTATTGGCACTGATTGTTGTTGTTTAGTTGTTTTCAATCATATGGGCAAAGGAGCTGTTGCTCATTCATTTCAGTCGTGTCCAACTCTTCCTCATTCCATCTGGGGTTTTCTTAGCAAAGATTTTAGAGTGGTTTGTCATTTCCTTCTCTGGCTCATTTTACAGATGAGAAAACTGAGGCAAACAGGGTTAAGTGACAGCTATCGAGTATCTGAGGCTGGATTTGAACTCAGGTCTCCCTGATTCCAGGCCTGGCACCTTATCTACTGCACCATCTAGTGGCCCATTGGCATTAGTAGAGAAGCAAGAAGAAACCCTCTAGTTCAGGGTTTGGGGTACAGACTTTGGAGTGTAGTGGTAGGAAGGTGTTCCAGGGTCTTTGGAGCGTTCAGCAAATATTTGTTAGGTAAATGAACTAAGGGACGTGGCTCTGGCAGAAGGGGGTATTGGCCCCAGATAAAGTGAATGTGAGGATTAGGGGTATGTTATAATAAATAAAAGAAGAGTTGAGTTTTGCTGATACCTGTTACTCTCACTTCTCCCTCCCCTCCACTCTATTTACTCTATTCTCTGGAGGTTCCAGGGGCAGCTAGGTGGCACAGTGGATAGAGTGCCAGGCCTGGAGTCAGGAAGACCTGAGTTCAAATCTGGCCTAGGACACTTACTAGCTGTGTAACCCTGGGCAAGTCACTTAACCCAGTTTCCTCATCTGTAAAATGAGCTGGAGAAGGAAATGGCAAACCACTCCAGTATCTTTGCCAAGGAAACTCCAAATGGGATCACAAAGAGTCAGAAACGAATAAACAACAACTGGAGATTCCTTTGCCCACATCACCCTTCTTCGTCCCCTACAAAAATGACCCACTATGCCTCCTCTTTCTTGAACTTCTCACACCTGCTGGCCCCATCACCCATCCTGGGAGGATCTCTGTGTTCTCTTCCCAGGAGCCCCAGGGAGAGGCGGGCAGTAGGGTGCAGTCTGGAGTACAATGGAGCCTTTCTGAGAGCAGGGCATAGGGCTGCAGAAGCAGAAGGAGCAGTCGCACCCAACCCTGCTCCCGGGGGACTAGTGGGAGGTAGAAACAAAAGTGCCTGTCCCACCCAGTGGCTGCCAACACCAACAAGCAGCACAGGAAAGAGGGGAGTGAGAAGGGAGGGGAATAAAGCATGACAGGAAGTGGCTTCAAGGGGCCTGAGGGAATATGAGCGGCACCATTCACTCTTTTAGTGGGAACTGAGGACCAAGGCCAGCTACTGGTTTTGTGTCTTGGACAGATCAGGGCTGACTGGGTATGACTCGAATTGCACCAGAGTACAGGAGCTGGGATTCAGGTGTCTCTCCTACCTCTTGACCTCTCTCAGTGGGACCTCAGCTGGCAAGAGATGGAGAAGGAGGTCTCCTCAATTCAGATAGCTCCTCTTGGTTCCTGGACTTCCATAACCTGCCCTTCTGAGAGGTCCCTCAGCGCTGTGCCGTAAGACAAGGTAGTTCAGTAACCGTAATTCCTGGTTTTATTTTCCCAGGAAGAACTGAATCTAAGAGTCAAATGAGCTGGTTCTACATCCTGGCTTTGCTACTGAGTAACTAT